ATCAGTGACCAAGAGCAGACAGGGCCCGGCGCTGGAGAAGGCAGACAGCGGATCGGGGCTGACAGGTAAGAGGTGTGCAGGGGTGTGACCAGCCCACCTGAGACCCTGCAGAGCCCACCATAGAGAGTCAATGGCGGGCTCTGCAGGGTCACTCTCAGGTGGGCTGTGTGACATCTCAGGTGGGCTCTGCAAGGGGTGTAACTAGAAATCACAGGGCCCCATACCAAATTTTGACCCTGTGACTTCTGGTTACGCCCCTGATCCCGCCCATTTGATTACTCCCAGTTGCAGGATGGGGACTGTCTCAGCCGCAGCTGATTGGGCCAGCACTGACAGCTTCCTTCCTGGCTCAGACAAACTCAAGTTCAGATCAAACCCAAGCTCACACCTACTCAGGACCAATAACTTGCGGCTTTAGCAGAGAAATGGGGTAAAAGAATACAGCAGCATTCATAAGCCCTACCCTATAGAAGCCATGGTTTCCTTATATTGCACTGATGACGGCCAACTAGCCTGAAACAGCTGTATGCCTTTGGAATAAAGGGCTTTATAACAGAGGTAGGCAACTTCGGCACTCCGACTGTAGTGAAACTACAAATACGATCATGCCTCTGTCTCTGGGAATCATGTCTGCACGTGCACGATTCCGCGTGGATTGCCGTGCGGTCCATAGTAGCCCAAGTGCTCACCGATCGCACTGTGGGTGCCAATATTTTCCAATGGCACCCCAGTCGCGCCAGACGGATTGTGCGGTTTCCAGCCGCGATTCCGGCCGTGCTTCTGAACACAATCGCGGCTAAAACAACGTATCTTTTTTATGCGATACAGGACGCGTGGCTGTTTTAGCGGGGAAACCGCGCGATCCGCCTGGCGCGACTGGGGTGCCATTGGAAAATAATGGCACCCACAGCACGTTCGGTGCACACCTGGCCGACTCCTGGCCATGCGGCAATCCGCGCGGTATCGTGCACGATTGCCGCACGGTGGGGTGTCGCCTAGGTGTGCATCGGCCCTTACACAGATCTCAAAGCACGTGGAAGGAGACAGTAAATAGGCTGCACCTGCAAAGTAGATTCTATGCATATTCTATAGGGCTGTGCAAATTACCGATTAATTTCTCGATTAATCGTTAATCTTTTTGATCGATTAAAAATTTTTTGAAACTTTCTGCACGAGCGCCAGCCAAGGCATTGGCCTATACACATACAGCACAGCAATGAAGTAATAAAATGAACTATGATCACACTAATCCAGCACGTTATTATTCTGAGTTGCCCCCCTCAAGCGGCGGCCATATTGAGTGGGGCACGTGAGATAAATAACGTGCCGGATTACTGTGATCCTGGTTCATTTTATTACTTCATTGCTGTGCTGTATGTGTATAGGCCAATGTAGTTGGATCTGTATGTGCGTTATAATTAATGGAAATTAATCGATTAAAAATAATTTCGATTAATTGAACATGAAAATTTTAATCAGTAACAGCCCTAATATTCTATAAAAAAAGAGCCAAGGTGTTCATACAAAGAAAGGCCTCATTCACACACAACGCAAGCAAAATTGTATATTACGTCTATGCGCGTATGTGCGTATATGTGTGCACTATATGCAATCCCAGAATGCATCACTTGTAATGGAATTTTTAATGTGCTGTATGCATGTACGCGTAAATACGCAGAAATACGCTACCCGGACGCATCTCGGTTCCATTCTGTTTTTGCGCATATATACGCTACGCAAGTATACGGCTCCATACGCGGCTGTGTGTATGGAGCCATTTATTTGCATATGGTACAATACGCACGTACGCGCATATAAGCGCGGCAGTGTGAGTGAGGCCAAAGGTTGAAGTCACAATATTGCTGTGTATAACCTTGGCACCCTCAATCCTCCTCCTGGCATCATAAGGATCATTAGCTTTTGTTTTTGTATTGGGTTAATATTTGTACGCTTATCTTGAAATTTGCAGAGTGTAAACTGCCTGAAGAGTTTGTTGACACAACAAGAACAAACATTACAAATATTTACTAAACCGGATTGTAAAACGGTTCTTGCATGTTAAATAGACGGTTTTATGTGTCAGCAGAGGAAATGGCCAATAACGTCTCAATGTACCACTGGGGGGAAAAAGGGCAATTCTGCAAAACCCGAATCAGCTGATCAGAGACAGCAACCATTAAGGGGGTCATTCCAACCAACAGTGATATATCAATGGAGCTTCAGCGGTGATGTGGAATCCTGCTTCCTCCCCCAAATACCCCCCCTATTTCTGGGCTGTCCTCACCCATTATGGAATTTTTGGGTCTCCCCTCTTGTCAAATTCCCCATAATCGATACAAAAATCCAACAGAGAGATGAGGCCCCCCTTGTAAATGGTGAAGATCATGGTTCACCTTGGTGGCACATGAGCATGCATTGTACCGGTCATAGATGATGATGTGCCCCTTCTCCTAGAAAGACCTGTAGAGCCTCTCCAGATCCCGATCCCAAACCATAAAGTGGACCTGGCATCAGATATATGTTTTTATGGAAAGTGTGTACATGCTAAATAACATGTAATTGTAACATGTAATACTTCCAGGTATTTATTACCTCTCACGGAGATCACAGTACTTCTCCTTACATTGCCTTCATCTGCTTTTCTAAAAGGACAACACCATCTTTGTTCCGGCATTATCCAGGGTCACCATCTACCTGGAGAGTGATGCCGAATCAGAGGTGACAGTCCTGGTTAGGGTTGCCACCTGTACGGGATTCACCCGGACAGTCCGGGTTTTGAATGCTGTGTCCGGGTTTCATGGCAGCTGAGACCCGGACACATGATGTCAGGCAGACAGGGGCAACCAAAATTAATATCGGGGCTACTGGCCCCCCACTGAAAATAGTCTTGACTGTGATATTTACATATTAATGGGTGGCGCTATTTAGATATGAATAAGGCGCGACTCATTCTCCCCAAAATGCGTCGCTAGTGTGTTCGGGTTTCGCTGAAAGAAAAGGTGGCAACCCTAGTCCTGGTACCTGTGCAGTTCTTGGGTGTGATCACAAGTGTCCGAAGCAAAGTGGACCTGAGCTCAAAAAGAGAAGACTTCCTGTGATAGAGAACAGTTGTACCTGAGCTGTGCCCTAAAAATACTCCTTTTGTCTGGAATTCATAAGCAATACCTTGGAAATGTTCCTTTTGTCTGGAATTCCTCATGATAAATAGTAGAGCTCTTTCCTGGTATGTGAGTGTGCCTAGGGACCCCTGTTCCTACAGCTTCATAGCTGTGTATCTGCAATGTGAGATCTAAGGCACTTCTGCTTATAACTAGGGGGCGTCCCTAGACTTATAGCCACCTTGGTGATGGACATTACCCGGGGGGGGGGGGGGGGGGGGGGCAACGGTTT